AGCAGGGCCTCAGTTTCCCCGTGTGCTGGGGACCCGGGCCCGGGCTTGGCGAAGTGGCCGGTGCAGCTGGGACGCTTCCCGGCGGGGGCGCCCTCGGTGAACTGTGCCAGTGTTGTGGGGGTCGGTGCGTGGGGATGGGGCCCAGCTTGCAAAGCCTGGCGTAAACTCTCCCGACCCCAACCCACAAACAAAGCAGATCGGGTCACGGTGAGCCAGCCGGGGTAGGGCCCCCTGGAGATGGTGATCTTTGACACACACCTTTTGTGCAAAGAGCATTCCAGACAGAAAGGCGCAGATGAAAGCCTGGGGGGTGGGGGGAGAAGGAGGGACAAAATGCCCCCTCCTCAGGAGCAGGGAGGTTAGTGCCATGCCCAGACCAGGAGAGACCCCAGCTGGCTGCCTCTGAGCCTTCTCCAGGGAGCCGGGTGTCCTGAGGGGGCAGAACAATGATACTGGCGGGGGACACCTGGGCCACTCCACCTGCCAAAGCTCCTCTGTCTTCTCTTCGTGCGCTGGGAGGCCGGGACCCACACAGGCCAACGGTCTGGGGCTTGTCCCAACCCACATACCTCGCAGCTGCCACCCCCTCAAGAGACCCCAGATACTGCTGAATCCCTAAAAGAAGCTCCACCCCAGCTCTTAGCAGACAGGGCAGGATCCACAGCTGCCCCAATGACACAGAACAGAACCAGCCCCCTCCGCAGGAGCCTCTGTAGTTTTCGGAGCAGCGGAGGGATCTAAGCCCAACCTGGAGGGGGCGGATGCATAGGAATCCCCCTTCCAAGGACCCCTTGAGGCTAAGCGAGCTCTGCCCCAGGGCACCTGTACTACTTGCTACCTTTGAGGCCAGGGCCAGGACAAGAGGAACTCAACAGCTGCCCAGGGAGATGGGGAGTGAGCAGACTGTTCTGTCGGGGGAGCTGGGCCAAAGTCGGGGGAGCCCCCCGAGGACCCTTCCCAGGTCTGCCTGTGGACATCTCTACTGCCTCCCCACAAGCCTGGGCAGGCCAGCTCTGCGCCCCAGCCCTCTCCACTTCCTGGACCTCCCTAAGTTGAGGACCTAGACATCCTGACTGTGGCCCCAGGGGGTTCCACGGCCTGGGACCTGAGCATCTGAAGGGATGCTTCACTTCACCCCATTTCTGCCCCTCCTGGTCCTCCTACCCAGGGACACTCAATCCAGGGCCACCCTCTGCTCCAGGGCCACGCCTGGGCTTCCGCATCCATGCCTGTCCCTCAGTCCAGACTTTGAGAGCTCAAATCCTTCAGGAGAGGCAGTGCCGGCTTTCCTGACTACAGTCCCTGGCACTAACCCTGAGTTCTCAGTTCTGGTAAGGGAGGCAGACATGGAACACACCAGCACACAGAGAAAGTGCTGAGGGCATAGGGCAGTCCTGGGGTCTTCCTGGAGGCAGAGCCACTTAACAAGAATGGCCAGATGGGGGTGCATGTGGGTGCCTACACACACCAGCTGGCACACCCAGCTTTCCTCCCTCACACCTGCTGGAGGTTGGGAACAGCCTGCTGGAAGGCTCAGCCCGGGCTGCCCCACCAGAGGTGGGGTGTGGAAGAAGTTGCCTCGCTGTGGGGTGGGGCATCTGGTGGTAGAGGACGCAGATGAGAAGGAGAGGTTTGGCTTTAGTGAGAGACACCACAGCCTCCTTGCCCTGCTCTGGCCATGTGGGTCCCCAGCCTGGCTGACCCCAGCAGCAGGCAGAATGGCCTTGGAGAGAGCCTGGGCCCGAGACAGGCCTCACATGCCACCTGCAGATGGTGAGAAGCTGACCAGTGTGACCGACGGCCGGGGGGTCCATGCTGCGCCATCCACACAGAGGGCTGAGGACTCCAGTGAGAGCCGTGAAGAGGAGCAGGCGGTGAGCAAGGCCTTGGGGAGAACGCGTGTGCACGAGACGAGACCCCAAAGCCCTGAAGCCACTTGAGCATTGGTGTCTTGAGAACCTGTCCCTTCTGGAGGACACAGCAGGAGGGCATGAGACACAGGACATGTGGGTGGGGATCACGGCATGGCTTGTCAGTGTGAGCTGCAGCACCAGGCATCCTGTCTGGAGCTCTGTGTCTGGGGGCTGCAGCAGGTGCATGAATGCACCAGCCGGTCAGTATGTGGGGTGGCCGGGCATCTGCTTGGGCGAGAGTGACCAGGGGGTCTGAGTGTACGTGCCGGGGCCATGGGTCAGGGTTTGCGCGGCTGTGGGCTCACAGGCATTTAGGCTTGTGTGGCTCCATGTTGGAAGGGGTCTTTGTGAAGGTCTGTCTTGCTGTTTGTGACCTCCTCCCTGCCCTTCCAGCCCTGACCCCGCTGCCTTTTCTCTCCTGCAGCCCGAAGGTCAGGATCTAGATATGCTGTTTCCTGCAGGGGCTGGGAAGCTGCCACTGAACTTCACCCATCAGACACCCCCATGGCGGGAGGAGGTGAGCTGGCTCAGCCTGTAAGGGGCTGGGAGGCAGGGCGGGGCTGGGGGGGCGGCGGGCCGTGCAGAAGGTAAGGCCCCCCGATCCCCAGTACAAGGGGCAGGTGAACCTGCACGTGTTTGAGGACTGGTGTGGGGGCGCCGTGGGCCA